ATCATCATCATCATCATCATCATCATCATCATCATCATCATCATCATCGTCGTCATCATCATCATCATCATCATCATAATCAAATGAGCGGCAAAATTAGCTACGTTCTAAAATGTATTCGACAGAAGAAGCGGTCGGCGAGAGGGTGTACCAGAACGCCACTGCGGCCACCACAAGCGAGTTCAACGGGAAACTGCCTGGCAAACAACCCAAGACCGCTCCAAAACCCACTGGGAAGACAACTCCTCAAGCACAGACACTGGAGCCCACATCGCCCACATCGCCCACATCGCCCACATCGCCCACATCTGCTGACGTGTACGCCAAAGTCCAAAAACTACCAAAAACTCCAGGTGCGGGTTTTATTCTCTACAATCGTGCGTGTTCTATTCTCTACAGTCGTGCGTGTTCTTATGGCCACTTGCCAAAGCCTGTCAGTCACATTTGCCTGATCTCTGTCTGTCTGTCTGTCTGTCTGTCCGTGTGTTTGTGTCTGTCTGTCTGTCTGTCTGTCTCTCGGTCTATCGGGTCTGTCTGTCTGTCTGTCTGTGTCTTTGTGTCTGTCTGTCTGCCTGCCTGCCTGTCTGTCTGTCTGTCTGTGTTTGTGTCTGTCTGTCTGTCTGTCTTTCTATCTGTCTGTCTGTCTGTCTGTCTGTCTGTCTGTCTGTCTTTGCATTTCAATTCGCCCCCCCCATGACGTCACAACCCTACCTGCGCGAAGTTTGATCCTTAACTCTCCCCTACCTCCCCCCCTTTTTTTCCCCAATCAAATAGTTTTAAAATGGCAGATGTAGAGTATCGGAACTGGCAAATGATGATTCACATCTCTATGAGCATTGCATACGTGTGTGTTCTTTTGCAGTACAAAGTTATAGCAGAGAGGTTATAGTCATCCCTGCTCACCATGGGGAGGAAGGAATAAGACTTCAAATAGGGTAGATCTAACTAATTATCATTTTATGTTAGACACCAATTATTTAAATAGGATAAGAATCAACGAGGACTGAGATAAAATATTATGTAACAATTATTAAACCTCCTGAAAACAACTTGAGTTTTAAAAATCTCTGTTACTGTTAGAGATTCGAACTCATGTAGTCTGCTGTCTAGTCGTTTGATATCGTAAGGGTGGTTATAATGTCGTAGTTCGTCTAGCACGTTGTCACTGGTCGAAATACAGAATTACCAGACGAATAATGCCATTGTAATATGGGAGTAAATTTATTTGTTTAACTTAAGAAGTGAACGCATTGTGGCGACACACAGTCTTGCTTTACAATTTCTATATGACTTGAGTTGATGTTACGATCTTTTATAACAATATAGGACAGATTCAAACTGTCCTAGTCTCTTTTTAGTACATGTTGTAGTATGAAACAACAACGCTCTCTCTCTGTCTCCCCACTCTCTCTCTCTCTCTCTCTCTCTCTCTCTCTTTGTTTCGCTCTCTCTCTTTCTCTCTCTCTCTCTCTCTCTCTCTCTCTCTCTCTCTCTCTTTGCCTCGCTCTCTCGCTCTCTCTCTCTCTCTCTCTCTCTCTCTATCTCCTCTGTCTCTCTCTCTCT